TGATCCATTGCTAGCGGTACCGTTAATCATATTATTACTGCTACTAACCATATCTACATTGTTACTGGAGTGTTCGCTTCTCGGTGAGATATGAACTGGCGTTAGTTTTTGCAAGGCGTTATGTTTTAATGATAAATCTTCTGGTACTGAGGAACAATTCGATTCGGGTGTCATGGAACGCAGCGAAAAATACGAAGAATCTGAATAAGCTGGCGATATCGGTGCATGATGATGATGATAACTAAAAGGATACGCGTTTGTTTGATGTGGCACATGATATGTTGGTATTGTCGGGAACGGCATAAAACGATGTTGGTGTTGGTGTTGATGTTGTTGCTGTGGTTGGGGCTGTTTTGGTTGTGGTAATTGCCTTAAACCGATCGGGCAATGTATTATATCGGAACGCATTGGTGGCGAAACGGAACTGGGTCGTCCATGTAAGTAGTGTGGTGGTGGAGATAAGGAACTTAGCGATTCGGATGGTGAGCTCGGTGATAGTAACTCACTACCTAATGGTGAGATCTGTTGTGTTAAATGTGGATTGTTGATGGTGCGATAAAATTCTGCAGTATACGGTGACATATGGAAATTCCATGGTTGTATGCCATAATTAGGATATGTCGGTTGGGGCACTACAACCGCTGCCGAGGCAGCAGCAACAGCTGCAGCTGCTGCCAAGGCAGCCGCTTGTGTTGTATTTCCAGCATCACCATTGTCATCCTCTTCAATATCAACACAATCGATCATTTCATCATCCTCATCTTCATCATCGATATGATCAACATCCACACCTTCATCCTCACAGCTATCGTTACTTACATTAATCAGCATCTCATCCTTCACCGTTGAGCTGCAAGAAATTGTTGTTTCCCCGTTCCACGTTTCTTTTTTCAAGCTTAAGTTTTCGGGCTCTTCACTGCAGTATCTTTTTTCTTGCTCGGACTTTAGAACTGTTTTCTTTTCGATTTTACATAGACTCGCAACTGCTTCCGCGGTGCCCGCACCTTTGTCTTCACTGTTAAACTGATAGTTCACTGGTCGCTTTTTCAAAGGACATTTGCTGTAATTTTTTTCAGCTAATATATCATCGATTTTATACATTTTGATCTAATATTTTCTCTTACAATTGCGAACAATTTTTTTTAGTTTTTTCTTATGAACTTTACTTTTCAAAATATATTTTTTCAAATTGTCTTTTATTTGATTTTTTCCTTTTTTGCTATAAATCGCTTAACAAATATTCACACTTTATATGCACAAAAAATCTCTCATTGTTCATAGACATTTTTTTTTCTCATTCACAAACTAATTCCCTTTATTGTTTTTTATTTTAATTTAAATTTATTTTTTTTGTTTTGTTTTTATGATATTTCATTCATTCAAAGAACAGTGTTTGTTATGTGAACTGAAGTGCAACGTATAAATCATAAAAATAAGGAAA